CATTGTGTTATTTTAATATGGACAATGTGGGTGGGCGGATCTTCCCGTGCGGGTGCCCCTTGGGGCTCTGCGCTTGGGATCCCTCTCGGGCCTTTGGGCTCTGGTCTTCCCTATGTCTGCCTCGTGTCTTGGGGGTTGGGTCTCGGTTCTCCACAGTCACTATTAAATATTCCATTGGAGAAATCTTGTATATACACGCATGTTCACAACTGCTCACAAACAGGTGTTCTGATCCGGGGGGGTTCTGACTGGTCAGTGAGTGTGTATATATGTCTGTGTGTATATACTGACAATATTTATGAATGTAGGCATGTATGTATGTATATCTTTATATTTGTATGGGTATGTGTATATTTTTATATATGCCCTCCATGTATTTATTCATTTATTTTTCAGGTGAGCGGACAGATGTTGGGTGTGTGGTCCTGTGTTTTGTTGGTGTATATTTAATATACTTCTAATCGCGATTTCAATCTTTCTAATTACTTCTCTCTGTGTTTCTCTCTTTATTTTCTCTTCACTCTAAAAAAAGTCACTGATGATGAAGAGATAAATAAACTAATAATATTTGGTTTTGTTTTCTACTGAAGTGACAAAAAATATGGACAAATTAGACATTCATTCCTCTCTGATTTGGCTGTTATTACACAACAATGGTTTTTAAAGGTTTTTAAGAAAAAAGTACATATTTTTATTAAATACATTTTAAAATTTGTCAAAAAATGCTTTAGTTAAAAATATTCAAAGTTAAATTTTTTTTATTTTATCATGATATAAAAATAACAAAACCATAAGCAGGTCAGATGATCTGTGCTGTTATCTGAGAATCATCTTTCACTTTCCTCACCTATTTTCCAGTTATTATTTTTCTGCATTTTCGACATAGTTTCCATCACATTCTGCAAAAATAAAATCCATTTTCTTTCACGTGCTTAGATATTTATTTTGAACAGGCAGGACACGCTGCTGCGCGTTTGATTGGCAGCTGCTGTGTCTTTGCCTTGTTATGCCTTTTTTTCTTCTCTCCTCCTCCTTCTGCATAGAAGGCAGAGAGAGAAATAAGGAGGCATTTTCTAATGGTTGTAAATTGCAGCCAATAAAAAACATCTGTCGATTGTTTCCCTTTCTTTTTTTCCCTTCTTTTTATGTCTTGTTATAATTTGATCAGTCAAATGCGGGACTTTGTTTCAACTTGCGCGACGCCGGGACAAGAGTGAAACATGTGAGACATTATTGTCATTAGTGATTATCTCAATTTCGGCTAAAAGAATTGACAAAATCCTACACACTGTGCCTTTAAGGTAAGCCAATACAGCAACAGCCTGAAACTCCTTAAATATGTCCAATTTTTAAAGCTCAACAGCGAGTTCCCTGACAGCAAACCTTAGGGGACAGGCAGACAGAAACGCAGAGTGGAATGTAAATCTAAAAAGAGACAATGCTCATCCATCTATTTTCTTTTCTGGGTCTCAGTGAGGCACAGTGCTGGTGCCTATCTCCAGCAGTCACTGTGGATCCTGAACAGGTCACAAGTTCATCACAGGGCCACATGGAGATGAACGAGACACAACCATTCACTCTAACCCAAATCAAGGGGAAATAACAGTCACCCCTAAAATTCCTTAAAAAAAATTATATTTTTTTTAAACGAAAGGTAAGAACCGAAGGAAGTCGTCTTACACGATGGTTTTCAACAAAAAAAAGCCCACGGTAGTGTCTGGAAAGGTCCAGAAACGTTTAAAGGCAGAAGAAACCACATCGTTTTTGCCCACCGGTGGAACAAAGACTATTAAAGAGTTGTTTTTGGTCTGTGGGAAGAAACCAGAGAACTCAAAGAAAACACAAGCATGCAAAGGGAGAACATGCAAACATCCTGTTCCTGTATTTCAATAAAATTCCAATGTTTATGTAAAAACATGTTTAAATTAGCACAAAAAGAAAGGACGTGTGTTGTTTGGTGGATTATTGTTGTTGTAACAATGCTTCTTGACATAAAATCGTATCTTATACCTAAAATTACCTGACTGGCATCACATGGGGGTACCAGAAGTTCATAAACAAGCGTCAACGGCAGCAGCAAAATTAGCTGTTTGGCAGAGAAGGTTTGGCAATTTTTTCATGTGCACCACCCACATAGTCAGCTCTACTGCTCATCCCACAAATGCATGATCCTTACAAATGTGACTCCATTTAAAAGGGCAATTAACAGGCTTTCCAATGGTATAAAACTTATTGCCAAGGAACATTGTTACAACAAAGAAATACTCTACCAAACACAATTGTCCTTTTTTTCATTTCTGATCAAGCTTTAAATTTTCATATATTTTCTGCAAAGGTTAACTTAAATCTGTAGGAGGTGTAGTGAAGAAAATTTGTGACGGAAACAGAAAAGTAAATGCCAGTTAGTCATAAAGAGAGTTTCTGTATCTGTGCTCTGACACCAAAGCTTTGTTATAATTCATTTGTGATTGAAGTGTGCTGCATTACTGTACATTGACTATGGACTCCTTGGTCTGTGCCATGTCTGTGATCACGCCGTCTGAGATGATGAGGAGGATGAAGTACTGTGAGCCGTCTGTCACTGCTGAGGCATACCTATCAGAAAAGACGAGAGAAGACATCATTTTATAAATGAATGAAACAAAACAAAGAGAAGCACTAGGTTACTCCACTGACAAATTTTTCTTGTCCCAGAGAGCAAGATTATAGAACTGTGTAGAGATTAATTTGCTGGAGTTTCCCTTTAATGAGTCCCGTTCTCAAGCTCCTTTAGTTGCCTCAGCAATTACCTTCCCAAAATCTCATATCAGGAAATGACTCCTCAGAGATCAATACGGCCGTAGTCTAATTGTACTGAAGAAAAATGACCCAATTAGAAATTCATTACTGTTCAAAGTAATGGATTTCACGTAAAATGTAGAATATGCATTTCTTGTTATCAACTGAACCGTTTATTTTTAGTGGACAATATTAAAACACAAAACATTTTGATGTTACAGCAGCTGCCATCAGTAAAGCAGTGGTTTACAGCTGCCCCAAACAAATCTCTCTCTCTCTGTAACTATTTCAGAAAGTAATCAATGGATTTACATCAACCACTGACCTAACTTTGGTGTGTTAGCAGCTGAGAGTCATTCACAACACATACTCTGAGGGCTAACTCACTGTATAAAATATTTTTCAAAACTGTCGAACCCTTTTAAAGGTAAATTTGCCTGTCTGTAAGCAAAATATTTTACAGTATAGTAGTATGACTGGACAAATTTTAATAAAGCCTTTAGAAATTAACTGCTTACACATCTACAGCTTTCGGAGTCCCTCAGGTTCAAGATGGCACAACCAGCTGACTTTGAGAAAGTAATATTTTACAAAAATTGAGCAAATGTAGCTGAAAGGCTCTTTTAGAAGACGGCTCCTCTAAATGGTTGAACAGCTCGTTCTGTGTTAAGGCTCCCTTTGGAAGCTCAGAGGTCACAGATGGAGATGCTCTCCTACTGAACTCATTTATGCTTTCAGAGTAGATTAATCAGGAAGGAATCAAAAGAGGCGTGGAAAAAAACTTAGCTGTTCTGATGTGTTGCAGTCACTCAAGCTGCAGATGAGAGCTGCAAGAGCCATCCTGGTGCTCTTTATGTCGCACAGATCAAAGTATGTCCAAGTATGTCTTTTTTACGGTTTAAGTTTGCAAAATATTCGGAACCTTATCAGGGTTGTATTTGCGCTGCTGCACACCTGCAGCCAGTTTTTGTGTCGATAAAATTTGTCTCAAAAAACTACAAAAAAACAAAAAATGTCTGTGAGTACCTCGCGCAGAGGTACAGAGGTGCAGTGTTTCAGTCCTCCTTCCCTGACTTCATGTGCATGCATGTCAAGTTGGACAGATTGTCAATAAATTACACAGATTTTCTCCCATTTTGCTTTGATACGGACATATACAGAAATCCCAAGCATTTTTTTTAAAACTTAACTTCTAATTTATTCCATGTCTTAGAACCTGTAGAACAGGGGTGTCAAACTCATTTTCACCGAGGGCCACATGAGCGTTATGGTGGCCCTGGAAGGGCCACTTGTAATGAACTTTGATGTTTCATGTTTTACTTTGACTAAACAGAGTTTAACACGTCCTCTTTTAAACTCTGATAAGAACTAAGTGTATGACTGACTAAATCTGTAATGAATACAGAAATATTATTAAAAGTAAAACAAATAAAGTTTTACCCACTGATGAGTTTCTAGTGAGTAGCTGCATTATGGCAGATTT